ATTTTGTATCAATGCTTCTGTGATTACCAAGTATTTCATTTCTTCATAGACTGGTATCATTGGTTCGCTACCACATCTGCTGATGACAATGATCGTGCCTTGCGGTGGCTTGCTGGCTGATCACATTCGCAAACGTGGAATATTGTCGACGACGAACGTGAGGAAGCTGTTCAACTGCGGCGGTTTTGGCATGGAGGCTTTATTCTTTTTGGTGGTGGCTCACGCGACTATGCAGAGGAATGGAACGGCGGCGATCTTCGCGTTGGCGTTTGGTGTTGCGTGCAGTGGTTTTGCCATTTCCGGTTTCAACGTGAATCACTTGGACATCGCGCCCAGATATGCCAGTATTTTGATGGGAATGTCGAATGGGGTGGGAACGATAGCGGGATTGCTGGTACCATTCTTTGTAGACTATGTCACAGAGAAAAAGGTAAGTTCTCTTTCTTTCTTTTTATAAATCTTTATTTCGTATTGTAAGACAAACAATAAAAATATTCAAAAGAAAGTTTAACTTTCCACTATTGAGATATTTCAAACAACACTGAATAATTATATAATTCTATTTTTCATAAGCTTATGAATTTTCGTTTTCAATCTTTGTTCATGTTCATCGCTGTTCAATCACTGAAATGAGAACGTTTCAAAGTTATAATCATTTGTACATTAAATATACGTGTTCACAGGACGCTCAAAGTTGGAGAAACGTGTTTATTCTAGCAGCATGCGTGCACATATTCGGTGTAACGTTCTATGGGTTTTTTTGTTCCGGAGAATTACAACCGTGGGCTGATCCTAGTGTAGAGGAACAGAAGACTTTCGCTATGGATGAATTTGGACAAGCGAAACCACCCCTTCCGCCCCCACCAAAGACTATGCAGTCTGAATTCATAGTATGTGCTATTTTTAATGTTCATTGAACTTTTGAAATTGACCATTTTATATGTAAGACGCATGTTTAAATAATATTCCCTTGTTCCACAGAAGCAACCATCCATGGGTGACGGAGCAACCGACGATTGGAATAATTACGATCAACAAGCACCTGCAGAGAACATGTACGCTCAACAGCAAGAGAAGCCGCCGGTGATAAGCTACGGATCGACAGAAACCAACAGTAACAATCCTTTCCACTCTACAAATCCCTTTGCTAGTGATGTAAACGCGTCTCTGGTACAACCTCCAGCGACGAATGATTACACGTACGACGTAACGCAGCAGAATCAACAGTGGAATTAAATCCATCGATCGTCGAACAAATTGGAGGGACGTAAGGAAATCTGTTTAAGCTGACTGATCATTTAGTCGATTATGTTTGTTACGTAACCGCGTCTAGTACTTCAATGTGATGGATTTCGACGAAAGACTTGTAAAGTCTTTTGGACATTTTTTTTTCTTTTTTTTTTTTTTTTCTTCAATTAGAAATGGGAAATGTTCGCATCATTCGGCCTAAAAAGTTCAATTCTTTTGCTGTGAAAAAGAAAGAGAAATCGAAAACATTCGAAACATGCGAATTTTTAACACTGTCTGAAGTATGAAACTCGAGAAGAGAAAGAAATTAAAGTACAAGGGTTTTAATTCAGTAAAAGACGAAAAGTTTTAAATTTACTTAAATTTGAATTACTTTCTTAATTTTAAAATTAATTACTTAAATCAGTAGAATTTCTATGAAGAATTACAATTTGGTCATTTTTATCATTCTGGTATTCTAGTATTGACACGAGTGAACTATTTTTTCCTTTTCAAGCGAAGTTCAAAGACAAGAAAGTAAACTGTTCGAATGAAAGTAGAACTGAGTAACTATTAAGAAATTGGAGTACTAGACGCTCGTTAAAGGAATGTAGAATAATTTCGTAATTTATGATCTTAATATTTGATATTAACACAGAATTGCTGATTTTATATTCTCAATTGAGATACAAGGAAATATTCTCTTTTTGCAATACCTAAGAGTGCAGGGTATGGTGCTGTAACGTAACAAAATATTAATCGTGAAAAGGGGCTTAAGACACCTATCAAGGAATATTAAAAGATATAAAAACGACAGGAGGAACGGACATAAAAACACGGTGATATTTTTTAGAAAAATATTCAAGTGAAGACAGAGTTTTACATTTTTGAAATGAAATGAAACCAAATATCGTCTAAATCTGATGTTGATCTGCTGGGCAAATATATCGTCTACCGATAATATTTCGCAATATAATTGCAAAAGAAGGGAAAATTAATGGCCTAATTTTTGAGTCAAGTTGAGAATCGTAATAATTTTTTTCAAATACTCAAGTGAAGACAGAATTACAAAGAAATAAGTATTATACGTCTTCGTATTTCGAAACAGTCTCCAATTTGACATTGATAACTACCAAAGAGACGAAAAATGTCCTGATTTTTCCGAGAAACAAGTCGAAGATCACAATCTTCCGAAAGGATATATTTGAATCACTATTGCTTATTTACAGTCTCTTACAACGGATATAACGTTTTGTTACGAGTATATGCTTGAAATGCAGACAATAAGCAACTGCCAAATCTTCGTAGACAATAATCGATTAATCGAAGACAATAATACCAAGAAGATTTGGCGAGACGATGACGGAAAGAGTAATCGAAGATCAGCACGATCGCTGAAACTTTTAGGTATCTTCTCTATTTATTGTTCCGTTTTGCCACTTCCGAATGATTAGCAAATAATTCAACGATGAGAAATTTTAGAAACATAGCAATAAAAAAAGAAACCAATATTGAAAGTGATTACGAGCTGATTCGTCGAGAGTAAGAAGGACGAAGGAGAATGACACGCGCCAATGGCGCGCGTTTTGAAATAGTACAACCCGATCCTCGATGATGAGCAAACGAATTAATTATCGAAACGTCAATATTTTAACAATGGACTGGCGGGTTCTGATAATTAATGCACAACTCGTGAAACACGTTCGAAATACGAGAAAGGCATTAATATTCGTTTATTCGGATACAAGTCAGTATCATAGACGAGATTATGTAACATAAGCCTTTCGAGTTTAAATGTAATCGAAAATACACGGATCCTAGCGGACGTGTATATGAAACGTATGAAAGTATTCGTAAGAAAGTGATAAGA